TAATGCTGCACGCTTAATTACACCAATGTAAACACAGAATAAGTTTAACTATTTTAGTGTCAAACATACTTGCTTTTGTAAGTATTTTTCAAATAAATCTATGAAAATAGTTCTATTTACCTGTCTGTGTATGAGCTTTCTTTGCTGTTTAGCTTTACTCACCAGTTGGCCCGAAACTTCTACTTTATTTTCTTACACGTGAACAAACATGAGTCAATTGTTTATTCTAGTTCCTTAACAAAATTTGTGTAATACAGACTTAGATTGGAAGACATGCCTAATTTTGACTCTGGACTTGATGTTTCATTACTACTCAGCACTAGAATTTTCCCTCATAGTGGACAGTAGTTAACAGTGTCCTTTGAAAAGCATTTTGAGACCTCTTCTTTGAGGGAAAACTGCAACATCTGTGCCAGATGGTAGTGTATGCAGATACACAGAAAAATCATTAGAAATTGTTAGTGTAGTGAGAAGTGTCATTTTAATCACACTTGTGCCCTTGCTCCTGCAAACGCTTTCAGGTGTGTTGGTTACGAGGTGTTTAAAAGCGTGGAGGGTTCTGTTTATGCTCATCCTGGGACACGCCTCTGTCGGGAGCGGGGCTGGAGCCCGCGGAAGGGCTGCCCTGCCCTCTAGTGCTCGGCGCGCCTCCTGCGCTACCTGACCTGAGGGGCTTCGCGCTCATTTCATGCACTTCAGGGCTTGATGGAATTTCATCAGTGTAATTTCTCAGTTTCTTGTTTCTGAAGAATTACTGTTGTTTCTGTTACCGTTGCAATCTCATGTAACTACATCATGTGAAATTGCGTTTTACATTTGGGATTATCTTGCACACTTCTTTGTACTTAACTGCCCCTCTAGCAGTGGTTACCAGAACAAAGCACTCTGTTCTTCCACCCCTCCATTCCTAAAAAGCTCTCATGACTTTTGACTTTTTCAGATGATGGTTTTGCCAATTTAATAATATGAAACTTTAAACTACTGTTTTTTTTAAATATAAACTATTGGAGTATTATTTACTTGAAACAACTATTTGATTGAGGTTTCTCAACAGATCCAGAATTGTTAGTCTCACGCCACAGCCAACTGCTAAGTTTCTAGCCATAGAAATTATGACTTTAGGAAGTGACTGGAATGCAGGATTAATATTTGGACAGAAGCATTCCTGTTGCCATTTTTTCTCTCTCTTACTGGTAGAAGGATACTATTGGAGCAAAGGAAATCTGGGCAGAAGCAGCCTCTGTTTGTTTTCAGCTTTTTGATACCTTCAGCAGCTGGTGAAAGGTACCATAGCCCCAGGATGCAAATGAGGACATGGATAAGTATTTGATGCTTTGTTTGACTACAGCTCTAAAAAATTCAGATTGCAGAGTGAGACTTAAGTAGTCTTGATTATCTAAAAGAATAAGCTGCCAAAATAAAGTAAAAAGTCACCTCTTCAAGAATCAATATAGAATATGAAACTTTTGCAAATAAAGACAATATGCATGCTTAGATTGATTTATTATATCCTAGTGACCGGGAAGGAGAGGAAGTGTCCTTCCGTTCAGCTTTGCAGAATAATTCTGAATTGATACAACTCACTTAGTAGTGGCATCCAGGTTGGCTTTTTAAGGCATTATTCCATCATTATAGTTCTAGCTACCATGTTTCAAAACTGTTTTGTGAATGTCCTGTGTATCTCAATCACTGTGACGTGAACCAGAGGCCTGAAAAGGAAAAGTGGGGTCCATACGGAGCGTGTATTAGTACATCTGAAGAGAAACAAACTGAAGTACATTCAGCAATAAATTTAACATGGGAGAAAATGTGAGACTGGAAAAATACTTCATCTTCAGTTTGTGCCTGCAAATCTTAGGTCAGTAAGTTAATATTTACTTGGTAATTCACTTGACTAACTGCTAACTTGCAAGTCTTTTCAGTGATATTTATAGGTTATTTAAACCCTAGAAAAATCAATTATGTAGTAGTTTAATATCTCCTTAAAGTTCACTCTTTCCTATTCGAAGGGTAAGGAGGGAGTTTCCACAAGGAATTCAGCACCTTTTTAGAAGTCTTAAGAGTTTGTAAGCTTTGATGCAATATAACCTTTTCATTGTAAAATGCCTGTCACTGGCTGCAGAGCATGTTACTAGATGGAATTAAGTGAAAAGAACACAGTACACACTGAAATTTACCTTTTGAAAATAAGTTAATTTCAGTTCTCCTAAAAATAAAATTCATATTCCCTGTTTATATGATCTCTCATTGTGTTTGTAGTATGCTTTTAGACCTGACTCTAGGGGGCAAAAAAGAGCAATAATAAAATTAGGAGTAACTTAGTGTCCTAGGAGTAGCAAATTTATGTAAATATGATCCTTCTGTGTATGGAAAAGGAACTACCTACTGCAGTTCCTTCTCTTGAAGGCAACTGAGTTTGTGCAAGGTGTTTGTGGAAATCAGGCTCAGACCTGCTGAGCAGCAGATGTGGTCAAATGGAGTGTGTGCTGGAGTGTGCAGCAAAATGTGCCCTGCTTTAGGGAAGTGAAGTGCAAGGGAGGTGCTTGATCCTTTCTAAACAAAGGCTACTGCACCCATGTTAAAATGTGGGGAATTTGGAAAGAGGGAAATGTCTTACTGATATTTTCTGTGATTTTTCTATGAAATTGGCTTACCAGTGGTGGTTGGGTAGCACATAGAAAGTATAGGCAGGATTCCAGAATACTGGCAGTCATGCAGATTTTGCTTCTAATGTCATTTGGGGAGATGGACAAGGGCAGGTGTGTAGGGAGAAGAGAAGAAGGAAAGCAAAAGACAAGAGGGCGGATTGGAATAGGGAGGAACAGATGGATAGGTGAAGAAGGCAGAATGAAAGGAAATGTGTGCATTACGTATCTCCACTCAAATGTGTCTGTCTTGCCAAGGAACACTCAGTAACTGATCTAAATTTTCTTTCCTTTTCTCAGTGGATAAATACCTGTGCAGAGAGGGTCCTTGCAGTCTGGTGCTGAAGCTCTTTAGAAGGGAGGATTGACTGATGGAGAGAGAAGGCCTTTATAGCAGTCTTTAGTTATGTTCATGCCATGTGAAATGCAGAAGCACTTACATACCTCTGCTATGTGTATAAATAGACATTGGACAAACAGTGTAGGTTAAGTTAGTGTTTGTGCCAGCCTGGGCAAAGAAAAATGTGCTTGGGTTTTACAAACACCTCGCTGAAGTTAGATATATGCTGGAGTCTCCTTACCCCACTGTGTTGTCTCCTGTTTAGCACTATGGGTGGTAAAAAGCAAAAGTAGGATATTTTTATCCATCTATGCCTGCTGCCTCTAGCATTTTATCACTGCACAGTTCAGAACCTTTTCAAGTCTAGTTAGATATCTGTAATGCTTCTTTTAAACTACTTCTTCACCATTACTATCGTTGATGGAATTACCTTTAATGTTTCAGAAAATGTTTTAGAAAAAGCATGTTAGTCAATTATGTTTTTAATTCTCTTGCACTACTTCTGGAATCATTTTATATCTGCATCGTTCTTCTCGTTCATAGAAGAAATTTTTTCATCCTTTAAAACCAAAACAGTATAACTTGGAAATGTTTTTAAGATTGATATTTGATTACTGGAAAAGTACCAGCTAAGCCCAGCTCTACAGTCACTTCAGAACCCTGAGTATTTTTGCTGGCGTATTTGTGGAAGCAGATGCAAATGGGTGAGTTCAGCTGAAGAAATATAAACTTCCTTATTGGCATCAATAGAATTGTTTTAATGTTCATTCTTGAGTGAGTAAATACTGAATATACTCGTGAATAAGAAGATCAAGTATCTGTTTGTAAACTAACTTAGAGTAGGTTTGTTGAAGAAGGATTATGTTAAGTTTTGGCTGGCCCAGGCCCAGATGATTCACCAGTGAATCACAGGCTTCAGAAGCTTTGTGTGTGTATATATCACTAATCAAAATAATTTTAAATATGAACACATGAGAAAAATGAGTACAATAAAGCTGAACTTTGATAATAAATCTAAGAATCATTTCATATTGCTAAATTTTAGCTTCTTTACTACTTGGGCACAGTGATTTTGATAGCAGTCTAGGGTTATCTGTCATTCCAGGCTTTTACTCAAAATTTATACCAGTTCATTATGTGACTGTCAATTGAGGGAGCTCCAAGCATAGAACTCTTGTCGATTACAAAAAAAAAATTAAAAATCAAACTATTCAAGATTGTCTTAAGTTGCTGAAAGCACATTAAAGCATGAGCATGTTTAACATGCACTATTTATGTGAAGAGTAAACAGTAGCTGAACAAAATTGACTTGCTTTGATTTACAAATTTTTATTAATCTTGAATTACTTGGCTGGAATGCTGCACATAAGTCTAATTTAACTAATGACTGTATATTTTTACTTCATTCGTCTGATAAGGTGTAGGTTGTGAGAGAGATAAATATGACTATAACCTACCATCACAGCTTCTGTACTATTTAAAAAAATCTCCGGGTTCTGTTTGCTATGGAACTACATGTTTTGTTACTTGAAAATAAACTGCTTTCAAATTCCTGTAGGTCCAATACAGCATACTATGGCTTTTGGTAAAGGTTCAGACTGACTTTTTTGAAGCTATAAAATATGTCAATCAAATGCAAGTGAACATTGTACTACAGTTAAGTCAGCTACAAGATTTTAAAGTTGGGTATTTTTAAGTACATTTAAGAAGAAACAACCAATTGTTCATGACACAATGTATTAATTGTTCGTAATAGAATTAAATAATGCGTACATTTCTATTTTTTTGTAATTCAGTTCGTTTCTCCAGATGGATTAAAAAAATCTCAGTTGATATTAAACAACCATTTCAGTGCTCTAGACTGGTTTTGGGAACTGCCCTTAGAGGCTTAAAAGAAGCTATCTAATATAGCAGATATAACAGGTATTTGACCCCTTACTCAAGAGGGAGAGGAAGGTATGGATGTGGGAGTCTTAACTGATTTTTCACAGTAAATTACTGATTTGAACACAAGGATGTAATTCATGTGAAGAGCTAAGTAGTGCAGACCAGAAAATAAAATTGTCATGTCTTCTCATGGTGGGTGGGGATGGGCGGGAAAGCCCATGTCTCTTCAATGGTTTTATAATTTTCTATTTGCATATAAATATGTAGTGGAAAAGCTTTTCAATGTTTATGTGGGGTTATTTTGGGATATCCTTTTCTGCATTCCTTCGTCGTGACCTCACGTTTGCCCAATTATGAGGGTCATTTTTTGTTCAACCCTTTTTTCAACTCTATCCAGTCCCAATGTAACAGTTAATTCTTACTAATACTTAATGGTGTTCTGTCTCAGGAGCTTGAGAAAAGGATGCAGAGGGGTAAGCTGAAAGCACAGTTGTGCTTTGGCCATGCAGTAACAATGGCCAGATGTGTTTGTGATGAAAGAATGCATGTACTCTTCAGCAACTGAGTCATCTTGGTTTGTTCCACTCACATTTTCCTTTAAAATTGATTAATGGGATTTCTCCGGTCTGTAGGACATCATGTTCATGGATCAACGTAGAATCATCAAAGTTAATTAAAAAAAAAGTATCACACTGGTTTATATCATAGTTCCTGTTACAGAGCAATAAGGTGGTTGTTTTTTTTTTTTTTATAAGGTCCTATACACAGACCTGCTTATCTTGAATACTTTGTCAGTTAAGTCTCTTGCTTGTGGAGGCACTGAGGAAACGAGAGAACACAAAGGAGGGCAGCAAAAAGCAGAGTGAACTCAATTTTTAGAGTGAGTAGAGGTGACTATTAATACTCTATTAATATCGTCAAGGTAGTAAGATAAATGAAGAGAGGGAATTGCTTGGTCTCAGATGGTAGGAGAAAGAGCAATCGCTTAAGGCTAAGGAAGGAAAAGTTTGAACTAGATAATAAGAGCGGGGGAAGGAATGCTTTAAGCAAAGAAAGTGAGTGATGTTTTGAGGAACCTAAAGAAGAGTTTGAGGTACTATCACTCCAGAGGTGTGAGATTTAAAATAATATGGCCACCCGATGTAGCTGATCGGGTTTGGTATAAAAAAATCACCTAAAATTCTGGAGTCAGGTTGGGTTGCTTTCACCTGTTTTTCACAGTTGTGATATGATGCAAGTAATGACTGTAGCCTTGACTAGCTTTTCTAACATAGCCTGTGCTTCCTCAGCCTGTTCAGAGAGTTTATTGGGGAAGGTGGGAAGTGTGTGCAGGAAGGGAGTGTGACAGGATAGACTGTAGTAGTAAAGTAGCTTTTCATTTATACCAGCAACTATCTGATAATTTGGTTTTTGTTCTTCTCTTTTTAAGTCAGTGCAGCTTCTTGGTACTGGATGACATTGGCAGTTGGAGTATTGCAGTGATAATGATTTCATGATGCTGGAGAAAATTACTTAAGACCTTTCTGAAAGATGCCTTCATACAATAAGATTTGCTATAAAAAAATTACTTGGGAAGCAGGGAAGTATTATGTCCTCTTTAAAGAAAGCTTTCAAGTATTCTTATTGAAACTCAGTACAGGAACATGTCAAAATGTATTTAAAGTAAAACGTGCCTTGTTCTGAAGCAGTCTCACAATTTATGCCAACCACAATACCATTTCTGGCAATTCAGAAAGAACAGTTTCAAGCAGTCACTAGTGAGAGTCAATGAAATGGAACAACTTAAAAGTTTTGTCTTCATCTTATTCTCCTGCTTATAGCACATCTTCCCTTCTCAGACCTGGTTTATCTCTGCAAGATTTGCTCTGTGCATCTTTCTCTTGGGATCTGGAATATATCTCTCTCTCCTGTGATTCAATTTCCTTCTTAGTTTTCAAAAAGTTCTTGTTGGGTAATTAGATGATTCTGGGACATTGCATTGTGCCAGTTTTTAAGGTATGTCGCTGTTAGAGTCAGAAGAGACTGTTCTGATCATCCACCCTCCTGCAAGAGATGGTTACAGAATTTCACACATCCATTTTTATGTCTAACTTCTGCCTCAACTTCAATAAACAGCACTTGTCTGAGACAACAATTTACTAAAATATATTTGCTTCTGTACCTTACAGGCCTCAGTCAGGGGAGGTGTCAGAAAAGTCTAGGTTTTCACATAGCACCTTTTCATTTAAACAGTTTTGCATGCAGCTTCAGCGGGTACTTCTTTGAGATGGAGCAGAAGGAAGTCAAGGATCATCTGCATCCCAAATGGCTCCATTCCCTGTGGTACAGAAGAAGATGGATTGGCTTGATTATTCTGTGTGCTTCTCCTGCTAAATTGTTTCTCCATTATGAAAACAGTTATTTGGAAAGCAGTCCAGTGCTAGCAGCTAGGTAATGGTTTGGAGTGTTCAGTCAGAACAGGAATGAATTAGCTATTTATCTTTATCTTTCTTTTTTTTTTAATTCGGTATTAAAATGTGTGGAATGGAGTGGCCACTTGGTGGCAAAGCTGAACAGGAAGTAAAATGTGACTCAGCTTTTCAGAATTGCTTCTATTTGTCTGGCATTTGTGGGAAACAGAATTAGAAAGTCACACTGACTTCTACCTGCAAGGTCATGTTTGTTTGTAATTGTGTTTTCTATAATTGTAATTTTCTATAATCATACTACTTGTGGTGCTGGTGGAAATTGTTTGATTACTTGAACACAAGATGTATCAAATCAATCATCTTTGCCTTCATCATGAGGTAAATTGGGGCAATGTCAATGCGCCTTCAGATTCTCTAGCAGATTTAGAGACAATAGTACAGGAAAAAGTTCCAATGACAAGGTAAAGGGCTTAGAGGGAGAGGGAACTACAGATTCCTGCCTAATGAAGATTTTGATACTGTCCTAATGACAGTGGCACATGCTCTGTATTTTAATGAGGCAAGATAGAATATGTCAGAAAAATTACTATAAAACAGCAAAGTAGCTGTGCTAGCTAACTTCTCTTTCTAGCTGTTGTTACAAAAAAAAAGGTCAGATCATTATTTTTAATGTTTTAAGGAGGTGTGGTTTGTAGGGAGACATAACACCATTTTTTTATATCAACCTAATGTATTGGGGGGGGGAATTGTGAACCCAACAAGATCTGATCTATGTGAGTGTTTTCTTCAGGTTATGCCTGGATATAACTGGAAGTGTTTCAGCATGCAGGGCACTGGGTATGCTGCTTAGAGGCTGATAATGTCTCCTTCTGGCACTGCATCATAAGAAAATAATAATATGCTATGGTTTTTCCTCAACCAGAATTCTGACTGCATCAGCCCCTTTTACTTCACACCTCAGGGGACATGGCTACAGGCTCCTGAGGGAAGTGAGCAGCTGAAATAAGTAAGGCATTTCTCTTGCAACTGCACTTCAGGTGAGGTGAAGAGGAGATTCCTGACAACACTCAGCAAGGTCTCAGGCTCCCTGTGTGTTTGGAACTGTATGGATAAATGAATTTCTTTATAATATGAGAATCTCTTTGCTGTTTCATGCTGTCAGACATTCAAACTGCATTTATTAACTGAGCTTCTCTTGATTTTAAATAAGAGACTGAATTTATTACCCATGCTTCTTGTTCCAGCAGATCTACTTTAATCTAATGCTAAAGTCAATAGGAGGAACATTTACTTCCCTTCCTGTCCGTACTCTCATTCCATACTCTGAGTGCATACATGTCCATGATATTGAAGCAAATGAGATTTTGTCCTATTTAAAAACCAGACCCTTCGAATTGGTTGTACAATGACAGACATTTGCAGAATATGTGGTATAAAGTAGTATTTCCTGCTGCTGGATGGCTTAGCGATTAAATCCAAAATAGCCATCCAGGATTTCTTCCATGATGCTCTAATGTATCCCAGCTCTTTTTTTATGTGCATGCATGTATTTTACTTGTGGATGTAGAATTAGAAGAACTTTGTTTTTTCAAAACTTTGGAGTCTCACAAGTGTCATTAATAAATACCCCAAAGGTTTGTAATTCTTATTCCCTTAAAATTTCCATTTGCATCTTTGAATGTCTTTACAGGGATGTTTCATTCAATGTTTCTTGTTGGACTGTCCTGGCTATCGAATAAAAAAAGCAAGGTCAACCCAAGCTCTTGTGTAACGCATCAATTTGTCTCTTTTTGCTTGAGCCAAAGAGCTTTTCATGCTTAACGTGGCAGGTCCTCACCTCAGGTGTCATCCTTTTTCCTTGGACCTAAATGGGGCAAGAACCAAGACCTTGCTGGAAACTGTTACCTCTGAGTGACTTTTCTTTCTTAAATTCCTGGTTTATTGTATAGAATAGATTGCACAGGTCGGTACAAGTAATGCATAAGAGCTGTAGGGATAGCTGAAATGCAAAGCAGCAACTCTTCAGATATAGTGCATTTGATTAAATATGATTATATGTACATGTTTAGATGTTTGCTAGATCTGACTGGATGTGTTGGAAGATATTTAAGTGATGCACAATTTGAACATTTTTGGCGTGGGTTTGTTTGTTTATTTGTTGGGGCTTTTTGGCTGATTATTGTTTTGTTTATTTGCTTTGGGACTTTTTTTTGCTTGTTGGGTGATTTTTTTTTGGTTGGTTGGTTTTTTAACCCAGCCAATTTCTGTGATCTCAACTACACTGCCAGTCCTACAACCTGCACTGGTACAACTGGGGATAGACTAAATCAGAGGAGACAGGGTGAGGTTAACTGCTGCTACAAAGGAGAGCAGGAACTAGTTACCTTTTTTTTCATCAGCAAAGTTAAGACAGAGTAGTCATAATAACCAGATTTGCTTAGATCTAGTACAGTTGTACCAACCTTTCTGCCAAGGCAAAGTCTTATACACTGTGTGTGGCTGGACCTGTTGCACCAAATTTGCAGGGTTTGTATGTGACATAAGGGCTATGATCTGCACTTGCCAGGACCAGGCCGTGGTGCTGAGCCTCTGCCCCGCTGTCTGCCCGGGCAGCTCTGAGGGGGATCAGGGACGAGGAGGGGGCAGCTCCTGCTCTCAATGCTTGTTCAGCTTCAACCGTGGAGCTAAGTTTGGCTGAACTATCTGGTGCTGGGAGCTTGGTGCAAGCCGTCCCCAGGTTCTTCCTTGGGGGGCGGGGGGGAATTTCTATTTCCTCCTCCCTGTCCTGCCCTCGGCCGGCCCTGCACCGACAGGTGAGGCCGTGGGGCCCCTTCCAGCCGCGCTGTGGGCGAGAGGAGCCCGCTGAGGGCAGGGGCGCCCCTCACTCTGCGGTCGTGCCCGGGGGGCACCGAGGGCTTCGCCACCTCACAAAATGGCTCCCCCGGCCCTGCCGCCCGCGGCCCCCGGGGCGGCCCCGCGGAGCTCTCCATGGTGGCCGCCGGCCCTCTCCCGGCGGTGCGGGGTCGCTGGGGGCCGGGCCGCCCGCCGCACCGCCCCCTCAGCCCCGGCCCGCCGCCCGCCCGTGCCGGGGCGGGGGCGCTCCGGACGCCTCACTCGCCTCCTC